GAAGATTCCTGTAGGTCTAGGAATATTTTTTTCTACCATACCCTGTTTATTGTTTTAGGCATACATATCTAGTAACACAGAGACACAGTCAGCATTTAAGAATTAAACAAAAATGTTGACAATAAAATAAGAATCAAGAAAATAGATGACTAATAGCACTGCTTGCACAGAGACATTGATGAAATGAGCACCATGGGTTCAACATTAAACACATGCAAATATACAAAAAGCTATCAGAATCAAAAGGGGAAGGATTTAACCTTAACCAAGACAAACAGAATGAACTGAAATACCAACCCAAGTCCTCTTAACCTAGTGTATCTATTAAGTATGGCTGAAATCACCAAAAACGCTAGCATTTTTCATGCAAAAGATAGCAGCATTCTGGGAGTGAATTTGCCATGAAAAACCAGTTAGAACTAGTGTGGTGTAGTGGTTAGTGTGGACTGGGATCCTGACAACTTAGATCCCACTGATCATATCCAGTGGATGCACGACTGGAATGATCATCAGCAGTTCAGAGAAAACAGTTCATAAACTATTATATATTTAGTTATTAAAAGCTTTTCTATCCCATCTGCTACTAGCATCTTGGGACTTTTTATCTCCTCTGATTTCTAGAAAGAATAATGGAGAACTATTACCTTTACCCATGCTTGTAGGACAGCCTTCCCCAGCCTTCTGACATCCAGATGTATTGGATTACAACTCCTGGCATCTCTTACATGGAATATATTTATTAACTGCAGCGTTTCTTGCCAGTAAGATCTACTATGACTCTTTTCACCCTTTCCACCACACATGCTTTTCACCCAGTATTTTAGTACTATCTGTTTCCTAACCATTCAATCACATAGTCATTCAAGAGGGTAATGGGGAAATGGCAGTCCATTACTAAGTTCTATAGTATTGATTTCTTTCTTTCTTTCTTTCTTTCTTTCTTTCGTTCGTTCTTTTTTTTTTTTACATTTTAGTCTGAAACCAAAACATCTTTACTTTTTCACATTATAATTATGTAATTGCATTTTTGGGATGCCATTCTATTAAAATGTATCCCTTTATGGTTCTAGAAAAGGCCCAGGGGTATTCCACTGTTTTTGTGTGGCTTTCACACATTTCATTGGGCACAGAAAGCCTCTACTACATTATGTCATATAAGGGCAGATGTTCTGTACAACAATAATTTTTCAGCACTTTCCTCCTATATTCCATCAGGGTTGGGTTTGTATTAGGGAAATCAGCAATTTAAGAAAATTGGAGATGTGGCAAGATATAGACAACTATTTCCTCCTTTTCCCCCCATGTCAGCTTCAGCATTACAAATGATTATACTGCTAAGGAAGTCAACAATGTAATACCAGATTTTAAATACAAAGGGAAAAAAATGAAGTATCTGTCAAAGAGTGACTGTAACAGCTATCTAGCTATGGAGATTTATTAGTTCTGCTTTTTACTGCACTCCCTGAAGAAAATGTCATTCAAGCTGGTTCATTATTATTCAAAGGCAATCTCAGAGTGCACCTCTGTGGTGCATTCAGCATTTGGAGAAAAGCTCACAGCCAGCAAATTTGGTTGTAGTGCAGGCAGGTTAACAGATTTATCAATTAAACTACAATTGCAGGCAAACCTATGTGCTGTACATCAGTAAACTTTGAGGCTGCACTTCAACATTTTTCTATGCAGGAAAAAAGGGATTCCATTACATGATTAATATAATGCATAATAAAGTATCAAGTGTTGGCACATATAAGTGTCGGACTGGGACTTATGCTTTCATATTATCATCACAATATATTTATTTGCTGCCTAGCACCAAGATTGACTTGAGCCTCATATTTTAAAGGACTTATTTATTTATTTAATAAACTTATATTTCGCCCCATTCACCAAAGCCTCGGAGCGGCTTGTGTCTTCACATAGTGCAGTCCTGTATATGTCTACTCAAGACTCACTGGGGTCAATAGGAATTATTTCCTGGTAAGTATAGATAAAATACAACCTAAATATCCAACCATTTTCCAATCAAGAAATGAGAGAAAAATATTTTGCCTTCACCACACTGGAGCACAATTTTATTTTACAGAGTTTAGTGGGGTGAGGAATGAAAAGATCGTGCTAATCTTGATGCTTACATATTGTGTTTACTGTAGAGGTTAATTCCAACCTTCCCTGCCCCCTAAAAAGAGAAAGAAACCACACAAAAAGCCCCCAAAGCACCCACATTAGCCACATTCAATTATCTGCTGAATTCAAAATATCAAACCACATGTTACACCACACACATTGAATTCTGTCTTTTGAAATATTTTCACAAGCTGCCCACCTGGTGAGTTTAATTTTAGAGAAGGGATTTTAAAAAAGGAAACAAACATCCTCCCACCCTTCACTTCTTATTTCATACTGCTTCAGCTTAATCAACACCAGTTAAGCTTTCCCTTGGGCAACATAGCCCATATGTCCTATATTTTCTATAAAACCGTTCTGGCTTGCAAATACATTGTATAAGCATATCTTCAGCATATATGCATGTACATGGTTGTGGCTCAGTTGAATAGAATGCACATAAAGTAATACACCTGAAGTCATAGAATGTATACAAATAGACACATTAAGGACACTATTCTGCAAGTTACCCAGCCAGAGCGTACACTGACTAAATGATGTTGCAGAGTATTTATTTTATTCTATTGGAAACATTTTGGTTGCCTTTTAAGACACTAGCTGTCCCAAAGCTATTTACTGTTTACTGTATATTACAGTAAAATTCACATAATAAAAAGCAGTGTGGTGATAAAAATAGCAAACGTACTAAAAAAAGAACCAACACAGCATAATACAAAACTTACAGTGCACAACTGCAGCTACAGCCCCATCTGACTGCATTTACTACAAGTCTTCAGCACTATTCATTCATCACCCTTAGAATACCAGGGAGATGACATCTTTCTACAACTAGGTATATGGCATTTGTAGGTAAATGGATTGAGAGCCCAGGTCTTTCTCTCATTCCAAGCAGTAACCAGCACCTCCGAAGAATCACTGGGTAAGCCTGCAGGAAGATCTCCCAAGAGACCTGAGAAATCTGTTTAGATTCAACAGTCACCAGCAGCAGACAACTAAACTTCATCCTCTACCCTTACAGAGGTTACAAGCGAAAGCCAAAGCTGTTCAGATAATGGTCCATCCATCCTAACAGAGCCACAACTAGGTCTCCCACCCACAGACATTTTTTTCTGAATCCAACATAGAAAACCAGGTCCAAGGTGTGCTCTGCCACATGTGATGGGCCAGATCTTATCTGAGATTATTGACAGGCAGATAAGAATGTGACGGGGGCAGATCAATATCTTCTTGGCAATATTATGCCTAACCATACATTTAAAGAAAGAGGGATGCTCCAAAAAGTAGGAAGTTATCATGGAACCATAAAATCATAGAATGATAGAAAAAGAATGCTGGAAGACCCCAATAAGCTGATCAGGTACATCTCCCTGCGCAATGCAGTTTTTTCTTCTGAAGGCTAAACATGACAATTCATTTCAGTCTCTCCAGCTGGTCTTTGTTTCCAGTCCTTGATCATCTTTGTTACCCTCCTCTGTACCTTGTCCAGTTTGCATGCATCTTTCATAAACCGTGGTGCCCCGGACTGGAACAGTACTCCAGATGAGGCCTGACCAGTGTTGAGTAGACAGGACCTAGCACTTCATGTGTCTGGATAGTGATTCTTCAATTAATGTAGTCCAAAAGAACAAGTAGTCAACTGTGCCAACTTATCAAGACCACTTTGAATTTTAATCCTTTCTACCAGAGTATTAGCTATCTCACCTTCTCATGTCAGTTTCTTATTCTTCGTAATATGCCATATCCTTGCCCTTAAAGCTTTGGTATGGAGCTAGGGAGAGGGGATGATTATTTAATGACACACAATGTTACAGAAAAGGAGAACTCAACTTGAGACTCTATTTTTGACACTGCTGTAGTTTCTTCTGTAATATGTAGGTCTCATGTTTTTGTTGACAAAAGCACATTAGAAGAAAATCCCCTTAACTGATGGTCAATACTGTATGGCTATTTTTCACAGAACCCTCATGAACCAAATCCTACTAAGATACCACAACAACTATACAATTCATATTGGAAATTCTCACTATTTGAATTTGGCTTGGCCAAATGAACATACTGTACATGCTAAATGAGCTGTCCAATTTATCTGCCACATTCACAGCACTCCACTAACCCCCACATCATATGCATATATTGTAATAAAATGAAATGAATCAGGAAACCCTCTACACCTACTAGCCAAATATAACTTTGGCTTAACTGGGAGCAGACAGTTGAGCAGAAGAGCCACAGAAAGATCACAAACTGTTTTCCCAAACCATTTCAAGCAGACCTGACAGAGCAGTTTCCAAGGCTCTTAGTATATTCCTGCTTCCAAGGTCTTGGTATACACTGGAGGGAAAATGTCCCTTCCAACATATAACCTCTGAGCTGGCATTAGGCTTTCACCAGTGACACCTCTGTTGTATATGGTACTTCCCCAAATTTGTTTCTATACTTTACAAGACTCTACTGGTAATTGCCTATTATTTGCCACTGAGAAATAGCAAAAACTCTGTGGAGAAGATGTCAGTTTAAGCAAAATAAAAAAAAATCTCTATCAAAAAAATAGATTCCTTCAGGAAATTCCACAGAACCTCTTCTCATTAGATACTAAAAAGCCATACATTATACAGGTATTCTGTTTAAACACTGAACTGTCAAATTGACTTTTCAGCCTATGCAAGATTTCTGGTAATAATATTCACCATTAGACTAAGAAGTTAAAAGGTGGGTAAGGAGAAAGCCTATCTCGTGATTCCTACTGAGTTTGATGACAAGCCTTCGTAATTGAAATGGAGAGAAAACCGCCGGTGCAGATGAAAGCAATTTGCATGAGTATTGCTCAACGTGAGGGAAGCTAATGGACATGCCATTCTACTGCTCCAAACCCTTACCTTGTAAACTGTAGATTTCTCCCATGCTGTTCTGTCGAGTGATGTGATGCCAGTATGCGCTACGAGGAAGTGAGATTGACTTGGGTAATGTCATTGGTTCAGTCAAATTGGTCTGAAGCTGTAAAGATGAAGAAAACACATCAAATCATGTTTCCCACTCCACCTGCCCTTCATGTTTCAAGGCATCCTGATCATAAGCAGCAGATTAAATTGACATATTTCACTTGCAACTGGCTAATTTCAATTAGATGTAGCCATGCTGAAGATTATCTGCTGAACTCAGAAGGAAAACCCAATGATGCTTTTGAACATTTCATTTTTTTACTACAGGATATTTACTCATCTTCCCAAGCAGTGCATTAAATTGCTATTATGTCTTAAGGGATAATTGAACAGGTAAGCAAACTGAAATAGGAGGATATTTTGACAACCTGTCCCATCACAGGACAGTGCAATGGTTTTGCAATGGTCCCAGATGGAACCAAAGCCAGACATGAGATGTTTAATTTTAAAGCAGACCAAAAATGTAGCATGCTTCTTGTTGAGATGAAAGTTCCATCCATTTTAGCCACTGACCAGTAGAGGTAACAGCAGCAACTAACGCTATCAGCTTCAAATAGAGGTTTAAAGAAGACTTATTTCTGTTGCTTAAAATTGTCTATTACCCAAGATGGAAATTTACTCAGTGGCAAATGCATGAGTCCAGCTGCTTAAGCTGGAAAGCCTGGGGTTGAAGCCAACACCATGGACTTAATTTGACTATCGAGTACTGGCAGTTTTTAGTCTTCTTTCTGTCTGAGCATGTATAGCATTGCACCCTGAGACATGAATAGAATGTGAATGAGAATAGAATGAGATAATCATTGAAGATAAAGAAAGTGAGAAAAAAAGCACATGGAATCCCCTGTGTTTTCCATAGCCTGGATCCCTCCCTCCTGGCAGTGATATGAAGGTACAGATTCTGCTAAAAAGAGAAGTGTGGTTCTCGTAATATATCGGAGCAAAAAGACAAAAAGTCTTTGCAACACACTATCAGGATATGAGTATAATTCACTGTGATTCAACAGGAATCAACCAGTATGGTTTACAGTATGATTCCAGGGTCATGCCATATATAAGAGATTTTAACTTAATGATTTCTGTAACAAATCTTAAATACAAGAGGTAAAACATGCCAAATGTTCAGGATGTTAATAAACTATGGAAGTTATTAGTGTGTGCAAGCCAGTAATATGAAAATGCCAAAGAAGTAAATAAAATTACAAAGAAATTGAAAAAAGAGTACATACAAAATTTCCTCTGCTTCTGGTAGCAATTGTGCAAGTAGAAATAGGAAGCAAGCTAATGGGAATAATACAATAACAGCTGTTTGACACTGGATACCCAACAGTCCCATTCGATTCATGGGAAGAATTCCTCAATTTGCAGAAGAATTTTATCCAGCAGAGGTTCCTTTAAATAAAATGCTGAGGCTGCCCACTCCACTGCCTGTACTATTTCACAGGTTCCCTCAACTCTGCAGAGCAGATTCCCAAGAAGCTCAGGGGCTGCAGGAGAACTGGCAAAAACTGTGTTTCTCTTTCCATTTTCAGAAGCTTCTACTTCATGAACAACCCTTCTGTGAATGGAAGGATACCCAGTATCTGTTAACTACTAGAAACCCTTGAAATATATCGCAGGTGAATCCCTCTGGGGCTGGTTCTAAAACTATGAGTGAAGTTTCCAATAAAATGTCAAGTTCTAGCAGAAATTCAAGGGAAAGAAATCTGTCTCTTCTCCCCCTCTACCCAAACCAGACCTAGCTGGATTTGGGAATAAAGCTCAACAGAACTGGGAATCAGCTACTCCAGGAAGCAGTGTTGTGTGCAGAGTTCATGGGTTTGCAAGCAGCAATCTCATTAGGAGGTAATGATTCAGAAAAACAGCATTAATTCTCACGTGGCCTCTCTACTGCAGCTATTGTACAATGATTAAAGGACAACAGGGACATTATATCAGAAGAGGACATAATGCACAGTGCTTCCTGTACATTGCAGTGATGTTTGCCCAGTCCTCCAAAAACACTACCATATAAGGCTATAACTAATAAATGGAATTATTGGGTATATTCTAGTGGATTTCTTTTTCATTAGAGGAGAATTCATCCTTCATATGTTTATACAATCTACTGGAAACAAGGCATTTCCGAGTGATTTTTAAAAAAAAAAATCAGTTGAACAACTTGAAATAAATGATTTGTGATTGCAAACATTTGCATCAAGACACCTTAATTTGTACATTTGAGGATATTCATCTCTTTGTCAAGGATTCATTGGCAATCGTAAGTCGTACAATTCTAAAAAGCATTGTTTTTCAAGTGAAAAATGTTATCCTTAAACTAGATTTGACTTGATTCTGTATCAGTGCTGGTCAATAAAAATGTTGATCTGTGCAACATAATTGTGTCTATGGTGATTCCCATAAATAGAAAGGGAAACAGAGCATGGGGGAAATCATTGTGAAAACATGGAACCAAAAGTTTCTGAAAGTCATATTGAATATTTAGAAAACTTATTTATGAAATAATTCATATACAAAACCCCTACTGTTTGGAGTTATAAAATCTGATAAAAAATCCCCAAACCATTGATTCAATCATATTCACACTTAAGCAACAATAAGCAGGGTATGGAAGCAAATATCTACAATTTGATCTTTTTTCCCAAGGATTAAAAAAAAAAATCTCAAAATGAGAAAAACCCACATTTCAACCAGAGTAGCTTGAGCTGACTTACCATATTTAGTTTTATGTAGCATTGAAACACAGTTACCAGTTTTTGTGTGCATATTCCTAGCTGGACTAGAGGCTTCCTGAAAAAATCATTCTTATGCATATAGGCAGCAGGGTAGATAACTAAATCTTTGATATGTTTTATTTTCTTGTATTCATTTTATTTCTGCTGTCTGCTTTCATGCTATTTAAGCTGGTGTGATTTTGATCTAAGCTGCATTTACTAAATTTTAAATGTGTACTACACCCTTATAACTTATTGAACAGCACAAGATAAATGAGCAATCGATTATAATAAGAGCTGCTGGATTAGTCTAAGTGTCATCTAGTGTATCAGCCACCTCCTTTTGTTGTTTCCTAAACGGTAAATCAATGCCATACTCCCTTTGAACTATGGTTTCAAATGGAACCTTGTATCTGCTAGACCTATTCTCCATAAATTTGTCTAATTTTCTTTTAAAGTTCTATAAACCAGTGACTGCTGCCATATCTTGGGGCAGTGAATTTTATAAATTCAACGGACTGGATTCAGATTTAGTCATACCCCAAGTCAGCACAGGGAAATCAAAAGGACTTATGTCATAACTTTTTGACTTTTAGATAAAATTACTCCATTTTGTCTGTCTGTGGCAATAAATACCATTGGACAACCCCAAGGTCTCTGTATCTCCTTTCTCTACACTACGCATAAGTCCTTGCTATGCCCCTGCCCCTCTGCTTTGTTGTCCTTCTTCTTGGAAGTAAAGACCCCCAGATATTTAACCCAGCATCTCCCAATATGATAACCTGCAGATGTTTTGGTCCTGCTTTCTTATCAGCTCAGCCAGCAAAGCAAATGGTCAGGGATCTTGAGAATGTGCCAGGATGAGCAAAGCTGGCTCAAGCATTTCCTCATATCCCATCACATCATTTTGCCTTGGTTTCTCTGCACTTTTTTGATGATCTTTTTGAGATGGAACCATCTCAGATCTGTCCAGCTGATCTGAGATGTGACTGCTGATGTGTCCAGCTGATCAATGTGACTGCTGCTTCTTAATGAGAGCTGTTTCTGCATTACCCCTACAGCTGCATGCTTGCACAGTTGGACTAGGTTCATTACACTTTGTTTCATGCAGCTTTATCAGTTCTCTGCTTCTTGTATTTGATTAAAAATGCCATTCTTTAACTTTTCCAACTTTCTTTTCAATCAAAAGAAATGCAAGCAACCCAACATGAAGCACCATTTGTGACACCAAACAGAATGTGCACAGAGTACCTATTGATGCAGTTTTATAGACATCTGCTTGTATTTGAGTACTGCAACATGTTTTCACATAACCAACCCACTTACTGGTTTTCATTAGAGCACATACTGAGAGGCCTGTAAAATACAGATGGGCTGGGACTGCTGCTCATAAATGCCCTTTGGGATTTGGTTCAAATAAGAGAAAAGTACCTCAACCTCCAGTACTGCTTTTGAAGTTTTAGGAGCTTCATTTTCTGTTGGAAAGGGGCTATTTGATCTCAGACATTATCTAAATGTGAGATGTGAGATCAAAAGAAAACAAAATCTTCCAAGAACCTTCCATGAGACAGGCAGAATTCCACCTCAGAACCCGATCTGATCACTGCCAATTCGCTGTTCTATTAGGTTTGCATGAAGTAGCTAGGCTTATTTACTCAAAATTGTGGGCTAAGCCTAAAAACAAGGCACTTGGTACGGCAGTGCTATATTCTACCAGTTGTCAGTGATCATTCTGGTGAAGCTCTGCTGGGGCCATGCATTTAACTGCTATTGTTCTGACATATGTTGGCCTGACCCTTCTCAATCTGAATGAAATATATGTTAATGCATTCCCTTGGATTCAGCCTTTCCTTTTTTCACCCATTATGACCACAGTCTCTTAGGACCTCAGAGAAGGGAGTTGTCTTTGCTCATGCTAGTTTTTTAAAAAGCATATTGATGGCTGCCTTTTATCAGCTTAACAGCAAAGAGTTTTTGCTCTGCTAATGGTTTGCACTTAAGAGGCTTTTATACAAATGTTGATGAAATATGTTGTGTCTGTAATTTGCCATGTCATTGGTGAATTATATTGTCTGACATTCGCCGAGACATAAGCACCATTTTGGTTGATATATAAGATTACTTTTTGCACCACTGCACATACCTTAAAACACCAAATTAGCAAATTAGCAAGAGAGTCACAAACTTGGAAACGTATGCTAAGGACATACTTGGCATAAATTACTTTTATTCACCATTGCATACAGAAGACAGCTTTCTAAGCTATAATGAACTCTTGTATCCTGTAAGGCAAGAGTGGGCAACCTGTAGGAATCCAGACATTTTGGCCTAACTAGCAAAGCCG